AATGCAAAGGCGTATCTGAGAGCACCCTCAGTACCTGGGAGCTGGCAAATGACCTCTTTCAGTGATTGTTTTTCAAGAGTTGCTATGAGTGGTCGGGGGGGGGGGGGCCAATTATTTTAAAATCATTGGTGGAGTTTAGACTCTGAATTTTATTTCCTATTCACAGTCAGACTACAGCACACTACTAGGAAAAATAAAAGCCCACGGAGAACAGGGTGGAGAGTAGAGGTGGTGCTCCAAGGAAGGAACCAGTGGGCTTAAGGGTGGGGCAATTGCCATAGGGGTTGGGAAATGTGGAGGGCATCCCAGATATTTGTGTGTCCGTCACCTGAGTGCTAGTGAGGCTGCAGAGGTAGAAGGGACTCTGTGCCAACCAGCTCCATCAGCAGCAAGAGTCAGAATCGAGGGGAAACGTAAGAACTCAAACACAGCTCTTAGGTTTCTCAGAAAGATGTTGGGAGGGGTTATAAAACTGCCTGTCTCATCTCAGTGTTCATTCCCTTGCTCTGAAGAATCACATAATTGGTCTAAAATTAGGGCAAAATGAAAGGCTTCGGTATATGTGGTTGTTGATTTCATGCTTTTTCCTCTTGCACAGTTTGCAGCCAGAAACCACATGTGATAGTTTTCTGGTTATAAAAAGTAATGGTGCTAAAATATTACAGTAACTCTGCCTACTCTTTTTAATTGTGTCCTCAATATAAGTTAGGCATAGATAAGTTTAGGCAGTAATGTTCTCTTAAGTTCTCTTGTTTCCTATTTCTATTTAGAAAATGGACAAAACATTGTTCATTGCACAAACAGAATGAATGTTCATTGAATTGCTCACTGGGCACCATGCTCTTTTCTGAGTGCTTTACAAGGCTTGCATCCTTGAATCCTCACAAGACTACGAGATTGTGCCTTGGGTCATTTCTCCAGGAATCAGACTTTGAGATGGGAAGGTATGTGCAGGAAGTTTATGGGGGGCGGATCCATAGCTGTGGGGAGTGAAGGCCATGGGACTAGGACAGAGGGAAGGGTTGCAAAGCTAGGTAGCTGCAGCTAAGGTCTCTACAGATCCCTGAGGGAGCTCTGGAGCTGGGAAGGCATTTCACAGTTGTCCCCTTTGAGACAAGGGGGCAAGGTTTTTACATCCCCCATGCCCTTCAATGGTCAGTGCATATTAGATTCCCCTAAGGCGGGGGTGTGACCCTGGGCAAGGCCAGCTCTCAGCAGCTGAAGAGCCATCAGATGACAGTGTTCCTAAGAGCTAGGGACATATGCAGAAAACAGACTCCAAGAGTTAAACAACTTGCTCAAGGTCACACACGAAAGACCCCATCCAGCCTGACCCAGAGCCCAATCTCTGAACCATCATTTTGTCTCCATCCTGCAAACCAGATAAGTAAACTATTAAGTGAATAAGCTACTTTTGAAGAGAAGCACATGCTCTGAAGAAAATGAAAGGGGGCATACTAATGTGCAGGTCGTATACAGGTGGCACTTCTTCTTTCTTGTAACATCAGGTATTATACCGTGTGTGTGTGTGGCAGAGGCCATTAGCCATCCCATCCTGCCTGAGGACACAGCCACATGGCAATCTCCCATTTCTCTAGTGGTGCCATGGGCTCCTCCCCAACCTGGCCAGGAGAACCCCCAGAGACCACGCTGCTGCTCCAGACCTGAGGGCTTCAGTGGCTACAGCAGCTTTGGAAGCTGGTGCATCAGACAGCAGAACTGCCATGGGACTCAGTCTCTCAGTGATGTCATGCAGCAGACAGCAGCTGGACTGGAGTCCTCACGCTGGGCTTTTTGTTACGAGAGAGCAATAAACTTACTCTTCTAAGCCCTGGAATTTTAGGGGGTCAGAATTTGTTATGGGAGCTTAATCTAAACTTAGGAGTACAGTGTAGAAATATATCTAAAATACTTCAGTATGGGAGCACCTGGGTGGCTCCGTTGCCTAAGGATCTGATTCTTAATTTTGGCTCAAGTCATGATCTTGGAGTCCTGGGATTGAGCTTCACATTGGGCTCTCCACACTCAGTGGGGAGCCTGCTGGAGATTCTCTCTCTTCCTCTGCCTCTGCTCCTCCCCCTGTTTGTGCACACACTCTCTCCCTTTCTCTCAATAAATTAAAACTTTAAAAAAATACTTTAGTATAAATAGTATAATATATGGGTAGTTATTATTGGGGTGGTATGAAGGTTAATTTTATTTATCAGCTTGGCTGAGACACAGTGCCCAGATAGTTGGTCAAGCATTATTCTGGATGTTTCTGTGAAGGTACTTTTTGAATGAGATTGTCATTTAAACAGGTGGACTTTGAGTAAAGCCAAATACCTTTCACGATGTGGTTGGGCCTTATCCAATTAGTTGAATGCCTTCATAGAACAGAGATTGACCTCTCTTAAGCAACAAGGAATTCTGCCCGCGGTCTGCCTTACAGCTTCTGATGCAAAATCTGTTCTTCCTGGTTCCCCAGCAGACTGCCTTTAGACTCAGACTCAACTCTTTCCTGAGTCTCCAGCCTGCCAGTCCCCACCCCTTCCCCCATCAGACTTTGGATTCCTCAAGCCTCCACAATCATTCCTTAGAATGTCTCCATATAGACATATTCTGTTGGTTCTGTTTGGACAAGCCTGACTGATACAAGTAATTATTAGCATTTGAAGCACCAAATGAGGACTCCTAGCTTCAGAGATGGCAACTGCATCTTCATGTATCTTATAGAAATCTACTCCAGAAAGTTTGTTAATTGAGATGACGAATGATAAAAATACATATGTGTATAATTGGTGGTATGGATTGCATTCAAGATGTATGGTTGGCTAAAATGATTTTTCTGTCCCCATTACCCTTGCTAGAATAAGGTATAAGAATAGTCAAGCCCCATGGCCCTAGGCCTAGATCACTACTGGGCCTGGTCATATGTTCCACAGAGAACTCCACAGCCTGATCCAACCAGGGGTACAGCTGAGTCTGCTGCTAGAGTCTGTTGTGTCTGCCCCCAAGTGAACCTCTCATGTGAAGTGTTTGCTTATGAGCTGGTAAGCCTGAGAACAGAGAAGGGATTCACCCAGCTTCCAGTGACTGGTTTTAAGATTGTTTGTTTGTTTGTTTAATCAATAATATAAAGGTGGCACAATTTGATAGGTGATATTTCATCTTTAATCTCCAAAGGCTGTCATTATTTACCAAAAGAGCTGACCCTTGTTGAATGACCAGTTTGACTTAGATCAGTTCTCCAAGAAAGGAGAGAAGGAAATGGAGAGTAGTATGTGGGTGAACATGGAGGATGTCTTCAGAGGGCCTGTATTTATATTTATATATTTATTTTAGAGAGACAGAGAGAGAGAGAGAGAGAGAGCGCAAGTGAGTGGGAGGGGTGGAAGAGCAGAGAGAGAGAATCTTAAGCAGGCTCCATGCTTAGTACAGAGCCTGACCCAGGGCTCGATCTCACAACCCTGAGATCATGACCTAAGCTAAAATCAAGAGTCAGATACTCAACCGCCTGAGCCACCCTTGAAGACCTGAGGCACCCTGAAGACCTGGATTTAAATCCCATATCCCCCACTGGCTAGTTGTGTGGCCCTTGCTCAACAAACTCTTCTTTCACAGTCTTTGATGAAGTAGGTACCAGTCATGAGGAAGATCACATGACTAATGTCTGTGCCATGCTCAGCTCAGTGCCTCAGTGAGTGTCTAGAATGAGTGCTAACAAACATCACCATCAATAATGAGCAGTGCTGTGTCATGGAGGGTTGCAGACAGGGGAAGATTAATCTTTTAGGCATTATTGCAAGTGCACCCAATTTCAACAGCTACGGTTCTTACTTGCATTCCTAACAAAGGGAATGAACACTAAGAAACCAATAGAGGTAGCCCCTGATTTGGGAAAGCTCCTTCCCTGGGAACTATAGTCAGCATCTGAGCATCAGGCCAACACAGCTTTGAAGGGTATCTGTGAGCACCTGGCCTTTCTCTCCATTTATTTTGTGCATCATTAGCAAAATGTGGCCTAAGGTATCAGAAAAGCCTAAGACATGTTATTTTTTGGGTCTGAGATGCTCAAAACATTTTCCGTGTAAATTAACAGTAACTGCTTCCTCGCTTTACAGCCTGTTTACCAAAGTTTCCAGAGGAACGCTCTACTTTTGGGGAGCAGAGGAAACCTGTACTATCCTGTGCTGTTGAACTGTGAAGGCTCAAGTGTTTTCCACCCAGGTGTGTGGAGATAGCCAAAATTTAATTTTTTGAATTACACTGGATATCTTCCGAACCATTTTGAGAGATGTTGCTAGGAGTACTGGGACTTTAGTGTTTTGTGTTCATGGAAGGGTGGGAAATACTGGTGTATTTGTCTGTTTGGGCTGCCAAACAGAACACTACAGGCTAGATGACTTCAACAGTGAAACTCATTTTCTCACTGTTCTGGAAGTTGAAGAACCAAACTCTGGCAAGGTTGGTTTTTAGTGAGGCCTGTCTTCCCGGCTTGCCGATGATTTCCCTCATGCTGTTCCCTCACCATGACCTTTCCTCTGGGTGTGGGCGCTCCTGGTATCTCCTCCTCACCTTACAGGGACACCAGCCCTCATGGCTGAGGGCCTCACCCTCATAACCCCATTTAACCTTAGTTACCTCATTTCCCTATCTCCAAATACCCTCAAGGTTTCATTGGAGATTAGGGCTTTAACATAGGAATTCCAGGGGAACACAATTCAGTCCACAACAACGGAGGAGTGTGAAATGTTAGCTATGTTTCTTTGTTCTAGGACTGTATTATCCTCAAGAGACACCCCGAAAGGACATATAATGACACAGTGTTTCCCCAACTGATTATTCTATGAGATCCCATTTTGATGTTAAAGCCATCACTTACTAAGGATTTGGGAAAAACTTTTCAGAATAAACTGTGGGGCCTCTCTGTGTGTGCCTCAGTGTGGACTCAGGGAAAGCTGACACAGGGAGGACTGTTGACTTTGATATTAAATATTCTAGTTTGTTGTCACCTTTTGTTTGTTGGCTGTGGCGCCGGTTTTCACAGAGGTCCCAGCCAGGCCCACGAGAGGCTCCCTTTCTTTGACAGCAGTGAGCTCGTTGAGTCCAACATGCCTTCTGTCATACACGCTCTTATGGTTGCTACTCAGGCTCTTTCAGTTTCCCTGGAAAGCGGAGGGTGTACGACATCTAAATATTAATAAGCGGGTAGTCACTGTACTTAGAAAGCAGTTCCCTCTCTCCCGAAAAAAATGGAAATACTAAAATATTATGCTCTTGGATTGACATTGCTGTAATGCGATGTGCTCATTTGTATTCATGTAGTGTTTCAAAACCAAGTATCCTCGCCTGCAGATTTTTCTAATTAAATAGCTGGAAAAACCATCCACCATTATCTCATTTGAACTCCCTGTAATAGCTTATTTCCTCTTCTTCTTTTTAATGTATAAATAAAGCCTTCAGATTTTAATTTCCCCGAGACTCTCCTTTAATGGTAAATACAACCTTTCTGGACCTCTTTTTCCATCAGTTTCTTTAACATGAACATTTATTACCTTATCTTTCTGATGCAACATTAAAAGGCACATTGCTGTAATTCCTCATTATTAAGGAATTATTGTTAATAAATATTGTGATTCATTGCTATAAAACATTAAAGCATATAATTTTCTTCTCTGTGTTAAGCCTCATTATTTAACAAATGTGAAGCTTCACTGTTACTTGGTGATTGTGTTTAGGAATAACATTCTCTCAAAGGCAGGATGGTGTTGTAGGAAGGTGGCCTCCAGTGTCCTAGAAGCCATTTATTAGCTGTCAGACGCTGGGAAGGGGGTGGAGTGTGGGTCTCATTTTTAAAATTTGTAAAGTGAGGCTGTCTTTTTTTTTTTTTTTTTAATTTGTATGATTGCAAGGATAAACCCTTTCAAGGAGCTAGAAAAAAAGGGGAGTTTTTCTCTAAAAACATATTATCAGTTGGTCATTAATTGACTTACTGATGGATTAAAAAAAATCTTTGTCACCCAGTATAACTCATGCAGGCAGGCACACACATCTAGACTCACTAACATAAATAATAGAGCTTACTGCTCTGAATTTTAGCTAACCATTCCTCTATTCGGGTGTTTAAATTGTTTGCAATTTTTACAATTACAAATAATATTACAATGAACTTTTTTTGGTATTTAATCTCTCCTGAGTCTTTGACCCAGTTAATTTTGCTTCTAGGAATCTTTGCTAACAAAATAATCAAAGTGTATATACTTAAAATGTCTATGCATATATTTCAAAATTGTTTTCCTGAAAAGTAACCAATTTACATTCCTAAGTAGGAGCTTATGAGAGCAACCACCTGTCCGCACTCCTACCAATACTTAAAAGTAGTAGTTCATGGTCTTATTTTGCATAACTGTGGTTATTAGTACTTTGTACCTAGTAAGACTAACCATTTTCTAACGTTTTTATTAGCCAGTTCCATTCTCCTGAGCATTGTCTAATTGCACAAGCCTATCTTTATTTTAGACGTTACTGTTTTTCTTATTAATTTATGGCAATTCTTTACATATTAAAAATATTAAACCTTCATTGTATTATTTGCAAATGCATTTTCCTATTTGTCATTTGATATTAATTTTTAAAGGATTTTATTTATTTATTTGGCAGAGAGAGAGAGATCACAAGTAGGCAGAGAGGCAGGCAGAGAGAGAGGAGGAAGCAGGCTTCCCGCTGAGCAGAGAGCCCGATGCGGGGCCGATCCCAGGACCCCAAGACCATGACCTGAGCTGAAGGCAGAGGCTTTAACTCACTGAGCCACCCAGGTGCCCCAATACTAATTTTGTTTATGCCATTTTTTGGTGGACAGTTATTCAAGTTGAAACTGTCTTATGTGGACAAATACAAGTATCTATTAAATATGGGTGATAGAAATATGGCCATTTATATACTTTTTTCTAATTGAAAATGATTCATAGATAAAACAAACAAAGTCATACTTGCTCATTCAAGATTTCTTCCATTTTACATATACTTAGGAAACTTCTATTTTTTTTTCCTGGCATTATTTTGTAAATAATTCAGTTCTTTCCCCTTAGTTTGTTTCATAGAGCACTGTCTTTAGTAACTTTCTCTTTTCCTGCTTGATTGTGACCTAGAAACTTGCATTTCTGAGTTCGCCATGTCTGTTAGGAAAGAAGAATGTCTGGCGGAGAAAGGACTACGAGAAAACTATGCGACTATCCTGACTGGTGGCTACGCTGTCATCCTGAGACTGTGGGAATGACAGGTCTTCAAACTAGGAAGCTCTCAGCAGACAAGATTGGACACAGATTTTATGGGATAGAGTCTTGTAATCAATCAGAATATCTGAGCCCCCATTGTGAATAAACGCCAACCTCCTCCTCAAACACATCCTTCTCCCAGGGTTTAAATAGCACATGCGCCTTTGTCAACGATGCTGCCCAGACAGATCAGTAGGACAGTAGGGACATAGCATAGCACACTGGGCACTCCTCCCATCACTGCACGCCCACAGCACTGAAGAGCAGGAGCTAAACTGCAATGTAACCCACTGCTTTGTTATCAATGAACGTTTGGTGGTTAGTCTTGACTTAAAAAGCAGGCAAACTTCTTAAGGGACCTGGCCATGTTACTTGTACCTTATTTCCTGCAGTGCCCAGAGAACTGCTCAGCAGCTAGGAGATGCTCAGGAACTCCCTTAGCGATGATCATTTTCTTTTCTTTTGCAGATTGCCAGTCTTAGTAATTTTGTATACAATGGGAGGATTTTTATTTATTTATTCCTTTAGTCTTCTAGGATTTTTGTTTTCAACCAAATACTTTCCCACATTCAGGGCTGAGAATAAGTATTCTAAATCCTAGGTGAAATCTCAACTGCATACACAAACTACTTTTCAAAGCCTGATTTTCGTTTTTTGTCTCGGCTCATGATTAACCTTGTTATTTTGTATCGTATTAAGCTAGGAGTTGTCCAGAAGCTGCTTCTCTCATCTGGTTGCAGCCCTGGTTCTCCCTTAGATGTGTAAAGCAACTTGTTGGAAAAGTATGCATCTTGCTGTCTTTTTCTGCTCTGGACCGGAGGCAGATAGTGGAGCATCTAGGACAGACTGGAACACACTAGGCATCACAGCATGAATAAAGCAATTTGGTGAAGAGTAGTGAAATCACAGGGAAGTTCCCGGGGGGGCGGGCAGGAGGAGTTGGCAGTGTGGAGGCATCAGTAGGAGGTCTGAGGGGCACAGGTCAGGTATTCCCCACAACCTAATTATTTTAAAAGCAGCTTTGACCAGGAAGTCACCAACCAGCTATGTGGGCTGCTGAAAGACCAAGTAGAAAGTCACATGCCAGAACACAAGGCCCCAGAGGAGACTACTGAGTGATTACTTTTTCCCATCCTGTGCAGCCATTTGCTTCTTCTAATCACTGGTTCTGGCTTCTCTATGTTCAGCTTCAGTGATACCTGCTCAGGAGTTTGCTGGCATTTTTTCCCCCTAATTTCTAAAAAAATCGTGGTAAGATACATATCACTTTAATTTACTATCTTGACCTTTTGTAGGTGTACAGTTTAGTGGTAGTAAGTACACTCATGGTTTTGCTGTGTTTTGGACACGAAAGTGTTTCTCTTCTAAATTTCCTGCCTCAGGCCTGTGAGGCAACTGGAGGGCAAACAGATCAGGGCTCAATATCAAATGAATTAGCCCGAAATTTGTATTTGCGTTTTGAAAATCAGACCAACTTCACTGGGATTTTTATTTTTAAAGGGTATTATTATTGTCACGGTGGGAATTACATGTGAGACTGAGAATAAACTTTGTTACCAAATAGGACACTAAAGGAAACACTTCACTGGTGTGGTAATTCAGATGAAAAAGTCTTTGGGACTTCAAGAATCAGTTATTTGCTATCACACACCAGAGCTGGTTTTCCAGACTGGCGTACATTCCGGTGCTGGGTTCAAATGGCCACTCTTCTAAGGAAAGGGTCTTCTAAAGGCAGAGAGTGAAAGGATACACATTGTTGCTGCATGCCCTCCACCGTGGTCCTGCAGACTGGCCATGGGATTTTAGCAAAGTCACCTTACTGTTCTGTGCTGTGGTTCATCCTGCAATAACGGCAGAATTTCGTACATTACCTAAGAGCTTTGAAAGGAGTCACGAGGTCTATAGGAGCAGTGTGATGCAGTCCCGCTCTCTTCAAAGCCAGCCCTGCTTTGTTCTTATAAAGCATCTCGTGTCCCAGGAGTTGTACATACTTTGTGGGTGGGGAGTGTGTGTGTGTGTGTGTGTGTGTGTAGGAGGTCATTGTGCATGTTATGTTGTTGCTTCCACTAGTTTTTCAACTCCTAACTGAACAGATGTAGTACAACAAATGATGCTAACTGTCTTCAGTGCTCACTTGGCAGGAAGTCTGCCTTGCCCTGTGAGATCATTTGCTAATTGAGAAATAAAAACAAGAGCCAGCTAAATGCCTGGTCAGAGCTGTATATTGTTTCAACAAAAAAATCTCGGGAGGTGTAGGTTTCTTGTTCTTTATTCCCATTCTTACTAATTTTCTCTTTCATCTCTTCCTTCTTCCTTTCTTTCTCAGGCTTAGAGAAAGTAAGTACTTTCTCTTACTCATTATTGTCTTTCCAGGGTGAATATTCATTGGCTTTTTGATCATACCAGTCCCACATGTAACTTTTTCTCTGCCTGTGCATGTATTGATAAGATCAGGATAAGGCCTGCTCTAAAGTTGCTCTGTTTATTCTATTTGGTGTGCTGTAGCTAGGAAATAGAATTCTGGCTTTTCCATCTTTTTTCAATATTGCAGTTTGTACTTCATAATATCCTGCACTTAAAGAACATGATTACTGCTAATTATCATTTAGAAAATTGTTTTTTGCTTGATTAGAGATTTTAGCTATGTGTACTCAAATCTAGTGGGTCTTCATTATGTGCCTTACTTTCTATTCTATACTGGCTTAAATATTAATATATGGAAATTTAGCTTCATCTGCCATACCTTTTGATGTCAGAAGCATAATCAGTATAATTGGCTTAGATTGTTTTTTCTCCTGTTTGTATTTCATATTATCTAATGTCATTAGTGAGCTGACTGCTGAGTGGGTAATCTGCATTTCAGAACTGCTTCTTGAGCACATTATTACCAT